TTGTGCGGTTTCAGCGCGTCGGCCTTTGAAATCGCCAAGGTGTATTCGAATAACCTGAAATGTACGTGTATAAATTCGAAATCGCCTTAGTTTGATGAAAATGACTGACAGAAGCAAATGAGTGACGAGTAGGCCTGGCCGGAATGCGGTGGGGTGCTACGTGTTTGGTTTAACTCGAGCAAGCAGCGGAGATACATCAGATTCACGGTGGCGGCTTGGTAAGCAAGCGCTGACTTCCACTAGAAGTAGTATGCGTTGCGGTCGCTAATGCTTCTCTATTTTGCGAGGTTCTTTTCAGTGAGCTGTTGCGTTACGAGCAAGCGTCCAATGTGCAAGCTATTTAAGCCAAGATGATTGAATCGCGATGGCAGTTGCTCCTACTGTTGAACGCATTGCGGGGGAACATCGAATACCCATCCGAGTAGCTGGTTTTCCATTCCCAACCTCTCTTTCGCGCAATGAAGCACCATGATATCGATTGCATGTTTTACGTCTGTGAAGTACACTCTAGCAACGATGATGGCAATAGTAATTCATGGTGGAAGTTTGTTCTTGTACAATTGCGTTCAAGTCGGCGGTCATACTGTATCCACGTATTATAGCGCAGCGAAAACATCAACCGCAATGCCATGGCTAAAATGGAATCTTTCATCGAGTGTAAACCACAACACACGAGTTAGTCGTGCATTGCAAGCCAATCTTTGGTGTCAACCAGCATCAAACAGCGTCAAAGGCTCAAGTGCTACAGCACTTAGCAGAGGTGATTCGTTAAGGATCCCGCTCTTAAGACGTCACCCTGCGCATCCACCGCCGCATACAGCAAACAGGTTTCCACCATTTGCCGCGGAAACTTTCATCCACACCGAAGGACGAGCTCACAAAGTCGGGTAATTTTTTTTTTCTCGATTCTACATGTACTTATTTATCACTATCGATTGCAACGCACTGCGTTCAACAGATCTCGGCGTCGTCTGGCCGGGATCGGAATCCCTGTACGATCTCCATGTCATGCAAAGAGCGTCGCTCGGGTGGAGGGAAAAACCACGAGGCTCGCATGCCGTCCGTCCCGCAGATGACGCTCAGATGCCTCTCCAGTATTGTCCTTGACTTGTCCCCACCACGGCGAGCCGCAATCTGGTCAGCGATCAATGTGAACAACGGGTCCTGGTAAATATTGTACAGCTCCATGGTAAGCATGAGCGAGCAAAAGATTCCGAACACGGCGGCCGCTGCCAGGATCCAGCCGCCCAATTTGCCAGGGAACTGGTCATTCTGCAGTCCGCACGTGTATTTGCCACGCGAGCACATGGCGTACTGCATCAGCACCAGCAGAGCTGCCTGTATACTCGTGGCGGTCACGTATAGCAGCATCAAGAGGAACGCTTTCTGGTTGCCAATACCCACACAATTATTCACCCAGGGACTGCCAACATACAACAATTTTATCAGTGCAGAAATTCCATGTATACGTAGAGTATCTCTCCTTACCAGTGATGATCTTGTAGCACAATGCATCGTTCACAAGTGTGGCAATGCGTGGCCCTATAGAAAAGCGTCAGTTTCTAACGTCCACCATTCCTAATTCGCTTACGCACCTTGTCGGTCTGTAGATCTCGCATTCGTCGCAGTAGATGAGCAGTGAGCCGTCGTCCTCGCACTCCTCGTACTCATTCAGTGGCATCTCTTCCTCGATCTCTTCCACGTCGTCGTCACTCTGATCTTCTGCTTCTGCTGGCGGCAACCCCTTGAGTTTGAACGGTACCGTGCCGGGGTTGCTGGTGAGCACCACGACGTGGCACCAGAGGCACATGCCGAAGAGCCCCGTGAACCAGATCCCCTCGGTCATCCCCATGAGGGAGAGTAGTCCCACCCACTGCGAAATGGATGCGAGCACCGCTACCAGTAGGCCGAACACCAGCACCCAGGCGAATAGCGCGATCACGATGCCCGATGGGTCCCACACGAACCACAGCGGGCGGTGGCGTCCCAGGACGCGACCACTATGCGACGCCATGGTCTGAGATTTGCACTAACACTCAAGCAAAAATTTAACGATTTTTTTAAAAAAAAATTCACGATTTTCGGGACAAAATGGACATTATCGTATTTACTGAAGAGATATACATCGGGTTAGCTTGTTTTCTTGAACCGATGAGAGCTCGGCTTCTTCTCACTTCAAGCATTTTGCGAAAGGTGACTCGCATTTGTGTGAAGGAATGCAACTCACAACGATCTCGAGTGTTGTCGATTCAATCCACATTGCTCCAGCACCGCTGGTGGCACTGTGTCGAAGGCTACTGCGTGACAACAACCGGCTACAACTCGTGGCCAGTTATTGCCGTGGTTTCCTTCAAAACAGACGTGGCTGTATGTATCACACTGTGGCTCCAAGCTTGCCGACAGCATGATGACTCGGCCAAGGTTTCGAACGAAGTCTAGCGAGTTAGAAACAGTGGCTGTAAACCATTTGGCTTCACTTGGCCATGGGTACTCATTACAGTAATCATCTTGTAAATCAAACGCTTGACAAACACCTAGCTATTATAGCTATAATATAATGGAGGCTAAATGTCCCCAGTTAGGCACGACTTTCATAGCATTTATGACGGGTTATGTGATCTAGCCATTAAAATGTGAAGACACAAGTGTACTTGACTTATCCACAGTTTTTGTGCACAATTCGACCACCGTCCCGACAAAACGACAAGCGCATACAACTCGATCGTCCATCCACGTCCACGACGCCAGCACGGCGCGGGCAGTCTCCATTCGCCCCTCGTGTGTCTCCAAGCGTCCACCCGCAAGTACAACACACTACACGACTTAACTTGTGGATGGCGTGTCGGTTGAGCTAGTCGCTAGCCGTTTATTGACGTTTTTCTCGCCTGTCACATGACCTCGCTTTCAATGTCGTCCGGTATCTGGCTTAAAAGCTGCTCGTCGATGTCTTTATCGCCGTCCTCAGATGCTTTATCGCTGAGCATGGACTCACTGCCCGCGGAGCTGCGCGGGGACCCAATTGTGCTGCAAAATGCGGTGCCAATGGACCCATTTGTAATGCAGGAGCGGCAGGAGTACACATTCTACGGACTCGAGCAGGACGGAGCGCTGCGGCCTGGGGGCCAAGTGGCTCTAATGACACGAAGAACAATCGGATTATTACTCAATTATGCGGGCATTGGTGCTCTCTATGGCGGCATCAACAGTCTCATTATCCCTTTCTTCAGTAATTACCTCCAATTACCACAATATCAAGTTCGCGCGACGTCTACAGTTCTCAATATGGCGTGGACTTTCAAAGCTTTTGGCGGGTTATTGACAGACAGTTTGAGGATATGTGGCTACAGACGGAAACCTTATCTGGTCTTTGGCTGGTTATTATGTTGTGCGAGTCTGTTGTACCTTGGAACGTCGGGGATGCCAAGACCTGAGGATACACACGCAGCGTGGCGATATTTACTCTTTATGACACTGGGTACGATCGGATATTTCCTAGCAAACGTAGCAGCAGACGCCATTGTAGTGGAGATCGCACAGCGAGAGCCATTGCCGACAAGAGGACACACACAGGTGTCAATCTACGCTGCGCGAATGTCTGGCGCAATTATCATGGATTTATTCGTCACGGGGACGCTAAATGGAATGGATTATGGGGGGACTTTTTCGTGGTCGCTGGATTTAAACCAGGTTTTATTGGTATTGGCGGCGTGCTCGATGATCCCATTTGTGGGTTCTATTTGGTTTTTGCACGAAGACCCGACAGCTCAAACAGTACCCATTTTCTCCTTCTCGGACGTGATCTCGTGTCCAGTACCGCCTCAACGTCACCAAACAAACACTGCCCCACTTGATCCACCGCTAAATTTTAGCGAACGCTGTCATCTCATTTGGAGACTAATTCAGAGTCGAGCGATGTGGCAACTGCTGATGTTCGAGCTCATTGCGAGTTTCTGCTTGACGATGGACTCGAATGCCGTCCCAGCGATTGAAGCGAACTGGGTGGATGTGGACACTTGGCCCAAGTCGATTTCGTTAGCGGCGTGGAGTTTGGCGTTTATCGGTGGCTTGTTCGCGACTCAACGTTTCTTGTTGCGTGGATCATGGACCAATCTCTATTGCGTTGCGACGGTCTGGGTGGTTGGTGTCGACGTTGTGACTGTGGCGTGCACGGTCTTTGATGTGGTGAGAAGAAGAAGCTTCTGGCTGTATATGCAGGTGCTTGCAGCTCCGGCTGTGGCTCTACGGTTCATTGTTCAATTATTCCCTATTGTAGAGCTCGCACCGCGAGGAATTGAGGGAACTACGTACGGCCTGGTCATTACTTTCCGCAATATGGCTATTCCTTTGGGTACGACAGCATATAAAGCCGTCAATGCTCACTTTTCGATCTCGGACGATGATGTACATCATGACTCGGACTCCACAAGAGTGCAGGTTACTTATACGTATCTTATTGCGTGGACATTCCAGCTCATGAGTCTCGCGTTCATCGGACTGCTACCTCGTCAGAAACTCGATGTGCAGCAACTGCGATATTATGGAGGTTATAGTGCATCAGGAGGGTGGCTTGTTGTTGTTGTACTTCTTAGTGTGCTTACGTACGTGACCACTGCAAACGTGTTGACCCTTTTTGAGAGTACTGCTTGTCTTCGGATGGCTGGTGGTGCAGGATGTGGAAGGTGAAGAAATTATAAAAGTAAAAAAACGAATTAATACAATGATGTCGTCCAATACAAGTCATACGGGCAACATGCAGCTCTCGGGGACTCCCACATCAGGGGACAATAATGCTGCGTCCGGTGTTGTCTTGGCTTATACTGGTATTCGTGGTAAGTAAATTTGTGTGAATGTGTACCTGAATTATGTTTATTTTTACAGATTGTTAATAAAGAAACTCAAAATGCTCAAGGATGCTGCATTATGACTAACTTACCCATAGGCTACGAGCAGCAACATCGCATGCAATCGTATTGATGACGAGACTTGAAGCCTGCATGCATTCTTTTTGTTGTCAAGCCAATCGGGATTGAAGTCGTCTGCTACGGCGATTGAACCATTCCTGAATTTGCGCTAAACTACATTCTCGATCTGCTCCGGGCCCATTATTCATGCAGTCTGCGGTTCTTTTCACGTTTCTGGACAGCGCCATCGCCACTGTCCCCACTCAAATCGCACACGTCATCGAATCGGATAAAATGAACTGCCCCAAGTACTGCCTGGACGTCTATGACCCAGTGGGCGACGATGAAGGCGATATATACTCGAACGAGTGCTACATGAAGCAAGCCAAGTGTGAG